CTCCTCCTCCTCCTCCTCCTCCTCCTCATCATCATCATCATCATCATCATCATCATCATCATCATCATCGGCTCCCGAATGGTGAGACAGATTCTATTGAGCATCTCGGTCTTTTCGCTGGGATGTTGCATCCCTCTTAGCTCAGGTTAGCCACCTTGATCTAAATTGTGTTGGTGGGCCATAAAAACGCCTACATTAGTTTTCTGTAATCAGGCTGTGCAACCCCCCCCCCCAAAAAAAAAAAAAAGAAAAGAAAAAAAAGAAAGAAAAATAGGTAAATACATTTTAAAAAATAAATAAATAAAACCAGCTAAACAAGAGGGCTAAAAGTGAATCATAAAACTTTGGAGTTTTTATTTATTTTCTACCTTTCTCAAAAAATTGATTTTTAAAGGTCTGTACTCATTAATAACAAAAACCGTGAAACTTGGCCACCTTTTTAAATTCAGTTTTTAACAACATGCATCCCATTTCATAATTCACTAGCCTGATTTTAATGACTCGAAACTGCCTACCGCCTTCTGTGGTGTAACGATTAACCACTCTGCCTTTAAAAACAATATGTCGTGCTCAACGCCCCTTACAACACAATTTAGATCAATTGCCAGGACCAATCCAGGCTGGAAGGAAATAGAGACCATAGGCCGGCAACAACCCTAGGGGAAAGACCGAGATGCTCGATGAAAATCCTCCCCACTCGGCTTCAAGCGCCTAACCGTTACATCGCATACAACGGTCGCTTCGTATTGCATGCTGCAGACGTTAGATCGTTTTCCACCATAGGAAGTTGATATCTCTGTCCGTCTTTCTGTTGAAATGCTATGTCCAACTGTCAGACCACGTTGTCTTCTGATGTAGGGTCGAAGAAGCCCACCTCCTATATTATTATGACCTTATTGTGGCATTAAGGGCGTAAAAAAATTACTATCGTAATACAACATAATTGAATTGCCATCTCATTCCAAGTCATAAGATATTTTGTTCTGACAGTTCAGGTTTCTAGTTCGAAAGACCAATAAATTAAATTATAATAAGATGCTAGTACCTTTGCCTGCTACTTCTATTATGAAGTTACAACTGTTATGTTTACTTAAACTAAAGTGTAATAATTTCCAGTAAAAGAAATCTGACAACTGTAAACAGTGTGATTCTTTATATTCTCTTGCCTCTATCTTTTTGTCTCAGTCCTAGTACTTAGTAAATCTTCTTCCCTATCTGTCTCTCCTAGTATATCTCTATGTTTCAATCTTTGTCCCAATATGCCCCCCCCCCCC